TCCGGCTCTGCGATCAACCTCCTCGTGCATTGCCTGCAGCTCCCAACATAGCCCCGACACTTCCGCTTCTGACAGACAGCAGCGGTGGCCAATCAGGTGGGCGGGCTGGATAAATGACCCTGGCGGGCTGTATCCGGCTTGCGGGCCATACTTTGAGAACCCCTGACCTACAGAGAGGTTCTAAACATGGCTGCCATAGGTTAGTCATATTGAGTTCACAAGTAAATGTATATAGGATTGCAACCATAGTGCAGATTAATATAACTGGTGCAATTAATAATAATACATTGTGCAAATTAATATAAGTAATATATAAGACTGCCTGCCTAGTGTAAATGAACACATTATGCAGACTATTTAAACTAATAATGGCATTTTTCTTTTTAAATATAGGGTGACCCAGGAATTGAAGGTCCAATTGGACACCCTGGTCCTAAGGTAAATAATTTCAGGTCTCATTTTTAAGTGTTTGTTCTTGTGCTTAGAACTTGATCAAGTAAGAGAATTCCTTATATATATTCATATTCATCTTGGTACTAACCAGTAATCAATAAAGCTGCAGAGAGCAAATTGATTTTAACTAGTGACTCTCAAATTAGGAAGGATATGCTACTCAAGAAAAAATAGGCAGATGCCATATTCTGATAACTGAATGGTTGTTGAGCTGATGAGGTATCCATCCCTTTATCCTGTTCCATATCTAAAAATACCTGACGTAGGAGCCTCTTCTGTCTTAGGCTTTACAGAGTGAGAGGAAAAGCAACAGATGAGGACCCCCACCAGCAACTTTGATGAAAGACATGAGCCATGTTCTAAAAAGCACCCAGATGAGAAAAATATTGGATGATGGAAAGAAGATGAAAAGTAGTTTGAATTCATTAGGGAAATTCAAAAGAGATTTTCTGAGCACTGAAACAGAAAATGGAAATGGAAGGGAGAAAACCTGGGTGGAAGTCATGGAAATTCCTTGCGAAGCGTGACTCTTCCACCATAACTGATGGCCTGCAGAAGCAGTCTTAAGTATACATCTAAGCCAGGGACCAAGCAGGAAGACAGGACATGGGAGAAGACAGGTTCAGGCAAGCTGGGAGAGAATGAATTTCAAAGTAATTGTTTACTTAAATGTATTTGTTTGAATCTATTAATTAACAATCTTAATCTAAGTCAGTTCACTCTAGTCAGAAGAGCATACCAGAAGCAAGACTGAACTCTACATTGGTATCATACATATCCACAGACACTAACTGATAGTACTTTTTGTTTCTTTGCCAGGGTACTCCTGGTCTAAAAGGAGAAAAGGTAAGGTACTTACCACATTTTAGAAAACCTTGGGAGGTGTGCTGTGTGATTGGAATGTTTTATTTAGTATAATTCTGCATCTCTAGGAAAGCCCTGAACAATGTGTTCCCTGTGACCTTTCCTGGAGCTGGAGGCAAAGGGCCTTCACCCGCATGCGGGATATGCAATCCCTGGAACCCTCAGGTTGGGCTGAAACAAGCTCCTGGAACCCTGGAGAGCCCCTGCCAAGGCCTTGGATTGGAAGGCAAAAATATATTCTGGAGCGCATCTCCTTCAACCCAAAGCAGCTATCCCTGGGTTGTGTTACGGCTGGGTTGCACTACAGAGATCCCAGGAAAAGATATAGCTACTGAAGGATTTGCAGAGAGGTGTTCTGTGGGTGTCCCCACATGCTGGAAGCACCTTTGGCCTTCAAATCTGAAGCACCGTCCAGCCCTAATCACTACCGAACTGTCCTTAGTTAAACTGCAGTTGTGTTTTGATTTTAATAATATCTAGCTGATTGCTGGGATGTTACTTATGTTGCTGGGATGTTACTTACTCAAATTACATTTGAGACTTTCTTATCATAAGCCACCTTGATAAAACCTCTATCCCTAAATGTGCCTTTTTCCCACACACACTCCCAATTGGCTGGGGTGGCTTCTGAGGGGCTGGGCTTAACAGTTTGTTCTATATATTACAGCTAAAGTCTCATGGTAGGTATAGGAGTGGGAAAGACCTTCCATGTAATTTTAATTTTGTTCTAGGATAATGTTTAGAGACACAGAATTCTTTCACTCTGTCCCAAACAATTTCTTAACTAGCTGCCATACTGTTGTGGCTGTTTTTAAAGGAACCAGGGCTTGACTCATCTTATTTCTTATATCCTTTGTAGGGAGAGTTTGGAGCAGATGGACGAAAGGTAAGGTTTGACAGAGGAACACAACACACTATTTCAGCATTGGTCTTATGGAGAAAGCTGTTTCTAATGCTTTCGGTCTTTGATTTCAGGGAGCTAGTGGTTTTGCCGGAAGAAATGGCACTGATGGACAGAAGGTAAGGTTGTTTTCAGCACTATATTGCCAACCTCTTGCTTACATTGATAAGATGCCTTTTTAAAGGGGAATGAGCACCCTAAATTTAAGCTTTAACTAGCAATATAAAAAAGGGTGGCCCAGACAAATAATTATTTTTCCGTTTTCTTTTATTAAAAAATGTTCATTGTTTGTTGGTAAGTTCTATATTCTTTTGTTTCACTCCTGAAGTGCTCTAATACCCACAACCTCCTTTCATTTAATTTAATTGGAGGAAAATAACTATTTAGTTTACAGAAAAAGTCATCTGACCTGTCTGAAGATCTGTCAGTACCATGCTGCATATTGATCCTGAATAGTTGAGATGTATCCAAAATTAGTGGAGCCCCTCTGAGCTGCATCACCCACAACTTTCTTGGACTTAAAGTGTTACTGCTCTTCTCTTGGCATTTGGCCTGCAATCATTGGCTGCTACTTTAGATCAAGGTAGGGCAACTCATAGGTAGCAGGCTGCAGGCAACTCCCCAGCCTTACTTTTTCAAGCTCACCAGGATAACATCATCAACATTCAGTGGCAAAATGACAAATTCTACTACAGTTACATTTTTTTCATTCTTAAAAATGAGTTAAGGCTTGATGAAGATGAAAAAAATAGAAATGTTGCTCATCCCTCCTGCCTCAAAGCCTCTCTCTTCCCAGATCATTCTCTAAAGAGGCCCTGAGGAGTTGGTGGAGAGAGCTGGATCTTTAAGCTTCACGCACCCCACCCACCCTTTGGTGATGTTCACCATCTCTCCATTTATATCTAATGTTTTCAATTCTAGCCAAGATAGTGCCAAGGCAGCAACCGCTGTAAAGAGCTCTTACAAAAGACTATTTTTTAATTCCTTTCTTTAATCTAATCTAATCTAATCTTTTCAGGGCAAGATGGGGCGGATTGGACCTCCTGGCTGTAAGGGTGACCCAGGTGACAGGGTAGGAGTGCTTTCTAATATGACAGCTCTTCCTTCATATTTCTTGTGAAATTATTGCAAATAAGAGTAATTACAATATACCCAGAATGTTTGGGGGAATTTTATGGAAGATGCAGGTTTCTTTGATGAAAACATACCTTGAAAATAAATTAAATGGATTTCATTGGGGTTTTTTTATCAATAAAAGAAATGAAAACCTGAAACAAGAAGGTGACTTTTATTTACAAATTCTGTGCAGCTCCTCAAGGTGAATAATTAAATACAGTAATACTGAATGTTTTGAAAGAGCAATGTGAAGGGTGCAAGCAAATTAGTCAATGAATTAATAGTGGAAAGAGGAAAAAAGACTGACCAATAGGAATCATTTAGGAAAAAGGATTCAATTAATGATTAATATGCCATGGTTGCATAGTCAGCTTAGACTTCTTTCCAGCTGCCTGTAATCGTTCAGTAGACTGTTCCACCCACCAGCAACCACACCTCCAGACACCACACTTGCTGTCATTAGCCAAATTGCTTATACTATGGCAGTGCAAGCTCAGCATTTGATCCATGGGGTGAATACAACCTGTCTTCTCTTTTTACAGGCAGTATGTACACTAACTCGGTTTTTACATGGTTTGATCATGTTTTTTACCTTTTTTTAATTGTACGTTAAGTATTATTTAATTGTACGTTTAGTATTAGCTGACTGGGACATGTTTTAGAAGAAGGCAGAGTATGAACATGGTAGAAATAACAACAGTAAGCATCATACACCAACACCTCTAGTATGTGACCTAACACTGGAATGGTAGGCAGTATCAGCAATTGGTGGATCTTAAGTCCGCCCTGCTCCACATTCACAAATATTGACATCTTTCCCATTTCTACTCTGGAGTAATGATCGATTATTAGTGTGCCCTGTTCCCAGCATTCTTTTTGAATTCAGAATGTGGTTTACATCATTATAGCTGAGTAGAAACTGAATTGTATAGAAGTTCATAAAACTTGTTAAACTTTCACAGATCTTTTGTACGGAAGGCAAGGGAACTAGCTTTACTTTGAGAAGTGAAAAGTTTGACATAGTTTTGGCTCTTGGCAGAACTCATTTGTGAACAAAGCCACCATGGTTACTACTGGATTCCATCCTCAATATTCAGATTTGCACCATATAAAGTTCTGAGAAGGGTAAAATCGACCTTTAAATATCTGTGCAGAGTCTTTTTGCATCCCTTCCTAGTACACCAGCACCAAATAATCCCATTTAGATCTTGTCTGAACTCTCCCAGATGCATTTCAGAAACTGACTGCCTTCTGTTCAAGACATGGAAAGAAATAAGCATCAGGATGGATAACTTGCACCTTAAACATATGTTTTCACCATTATAATATCTGCAATCATAGAGCACTTTCCTATTATTTACATTTTACTTTTCTAAACAATATGGCTTGTGACTAAGTTTCCCTCTCTCTCTTTTTAGGGTTCTGATGGCTACCCTGGAATTCCTGGAGATTCAGGGCTACCAGGAGAGGAAGGGATAAAGGTCTGTACCATTCCTTACTGGCAGAGACTAAAGACAGCCTGACATAGTCAGGAAGAGTAAATTCGAACAAAGGCAGAACATTTATGGCTCATTGTTGAAGTGTCATAAAGTTTTTCAAGATATTTAGTTTCAAAAAAGGATAGTAAAAGGGAACAGGCATAGTAGAGATTTGAAGGGGAAAAAAAGGCACGTGGGATTTTTTTAGAACTCTGGCAGGAAAATCAAAAGGAAAGGAATCCTAGGGCTGTGCTGAGCTTTGGGATGGACCTCCAAAGGGGGCTTCAGAAAGTGTGGGAATGCCTTAAAGGAGCCCCACCCTTTCCTGGGACTGCAGGGCAGCTGCAGAAGGCAAGCCTGGCAGCCTGGTGGGAACAGATGCAGCTTCTCTGCAGCATTGCAAAGTAACTGCATGTTTTCTCTGTCCAACTGGTTTTACCTTTATAATGAAAGACATCTTACAAGGAGTTGTGATTTGTAAAGGGAGCTGGCAATTCTGAAAATTAAGGTAAGGAAAATGCTTCTGACTGTAGGAAGAAAGCTAAAAGCCAAATATAAAACCTTTTCCTCCCATGTCACTTTCCATTTCCAGTTACTATTTTTTTCCATGGGCGAGCTGTTCATTGGGAAAAGTGGGGGACGATTTAATGGGAGAAAAGCACACTGGTCCTTTCATGAATTTCTCCTATCAAATACACATCACTGCTATTAAATTTCATTTACAATGAGACACTTATTGATAGCTTTTCCATGACTATCAGAATGGAATAGGGCATGTTTTAGGAGAGCCTAGCCTAAAGTCTACATGTCTGGAAGTTGGGAAAAGCTGCCTTAGAAGCTTCTTAGTAACTCTGGAAGGCCTTAAGAAATGGGCATCAGAAATAAAACAGGTCTCCACTAAGCATTTATGATGAGTTCCTTGGGGGTGGTTTGGACCAAGACACAAGGATTGGTTGATTTTTTTCCCCAGCAGGGGATGTTTTATTGTACAAAATTACATTTTCCAGGATCTGGATACGGAAGGGGAATCTTATTACCTATTTTGTCCCTATACTTATGTATATTTCTATTATCCTAATCTGAATCCTAATTCTGCCTCTATTTTTTCTTATGTTCTATCTTCTGTCTCTATGTTTCTCTGTTGCTAATTTTCCGATGTATGCCCCAGGCTGTAGATTGTGACCTGGAGAAAAATTGCATCAACTGGTAAAGTTTGGGCTCTCTGTAAACCAAATTCACCCTGATTAATTGCATACTCTTCTTCTTTTCTTTCTTTCTTTTGTGGAGCTAAGGGGAAAGTTAAAAGGCTTCCACCCCCACCCCCAATCTCTGTCTTCTGGGATAAACAGGTGTGCTTGGGAGGCCTTCTCCTGGGAAACATACCTATTCAAGAATAACACTGCCTTTGCTGCACCTCCCTACCTCTTTGGGGAATATAGTTCTGCTAACTTTTACAGTCCTTGTCTGCTTGAGACGATCAAGTCACAGCTCCTTCCCTTTCAGTCTAGTCTTTAGAGACAGTTTTTGCCCCCTTCAAAGTGCACCACTGTCCCATCCACCTTCTCTAGAGTAGGCTAGATAGATCAGCCCTCACCCTGTCAGCTTTAGGTAGGGATTCACTTATTATATCTTCACTTCCTTCTAGCCAAGACTTGCTGGAGCCTCTCTTTTGCTGCTGGGTTTCACTGGCTGCTGGTCCAGATTCCAGTTCTTTTGTTCCTTGCCAGTTGCACCTTTCCTTACCATCTCCTCTCAGTTGGTGCTCCTTTGCCTGCACATGGACCTCTGGATCTGGTCTGTCCCATGCCAATCCCTTCTGCTCACTGATTTGTTTCTTTCCACTTCCATCTTCTTTCTGGCTCAACTTCCCTTCCGTCCACACCTTCAATCCTCTTCTCAGCTTCCATCTGGGTGTGTTCATAACATAGATTGATGGGAACTAATTTCATTCTGATTCCAGTCTGCTTATTCTGAAATATGCAATATCTATCTATCTATCTATCTATCTATCTATCTATCTATCTATCTATCTATCTATCTATCTATCTACCTACCTACCTACCTACCTACCTACCTACCTACCTATCTCTTACAGCCACTGCTTACTACATCTCTTTCAGGGAGATCCTGGCCGGCCTGGCAGAGATGGACCACCTGGTTCCGGTGGAGATAAAGGAAGCCCTGTATGTAACCCTATGGCTTTAGTTTGCTGAAATAATTGCATCCCTTGATCTTCAGAGCCATACTCTAACTGTATGGCATCAGTAGCATGATTTCAAACTGTGGGTATAATATATCTGGCTATGTTCCTTTTGTTGCAGTTGTAAGAAGTTAGGAAAATAGGAATCTCGGTTAGCCTGGACTAAACTTAGACTAAACCCCTCTAGTAAAAGCCCCAAATGTTAAGGGGAGCATTCTTTTGTATTTCTATTTGGGGACAACCACTCAATACAAATAAGACTGAAATAAGTACCTAAGACTTAGGGCATGTGCTTTCAATCTGCAAAATCGAAGATCTCCTGCAACATTTGTTGGGAATAACTCCCTTCCTCCAGTACAAATTTCACAGGCTATTGATTGAACTCTCTAATGTTGTGCTTGAAACACAACAATCTGTGAGCAGATTATCTGAAGGTAAGCCTTTCCCAGCTTGAGCCTGTCTGGAGAGACTTTTTCTTCTAACCTACTATTTTCAAAGTTATATTTAGCAGGGCTACAAAAAAAAAAAAGTGGTCAAGGAAGCCCATGTAGACCCTTCTAATTTGGCCCCTCCATCCTGATGATAACTAATTACTGATTTGGATTAGAAGAGAAAGGAAACAAATTTGTCACAGTGCAAAAGCCTAACATTAGGAAGTGTGGTTCATAGATCAGATAATCCTCTGGAACACCTTTTGTTGTCCACGAAGCCCCTTCTCACAGGTTTTATTTCTATCATTTTTCTTTTATTTTCAAAGGGACCAAAAGGGTACAAAGGAGAACCTGGTCTTCCTGGTCTTAAGGGAAGTCCAGGCGCCAAAGGACTTGAAGGGCCAAAAGGAGAACCTGTAAGTTCATCAGCGGTTTCTAGCTTTGCATTTTTTAATTCTTTTCAAAAGCAGGTTGCCTTACAAGTCTTAAAATATACCCAGATGGTTAGTTCTTCAGAGCTGTATGCAGGATCTAGATGCAGTTGCCAGGCATCATTGGTATATTTCCTTCTGTATGACAGCTTGTGAAACAATTCACCGTATCGATCGCTATATTTGGAGGCTCCAGTTTCTCTCTTTTTATGACATTCAAATGTCATTATATAAAACCACATAAATATATGTTGGATAGATAATATGAGACTCTACATAAATGGTGAGTGAAGACTATGAAAGGATGGCACAAATGATTGGTAAC